TATATATATATATATATATATATATATATATATATATATATATATATATATATATATATATATATATATATATATATATATATATATATATATACCAAGCTCAAAGTATCCTAGGTACAATAATTGTTGTGTGCACCTATACAAGTGAAATTGCCGGTTCAAATTTGATAGAATTCGAGGGTCCACCAAACTATATAGAGAACCAGGTTCTCTATTAGTTCCCACAGAACACACTCACACTACAGTAAGTAAATGACACAGAGAAATTTTACGTGAAAAATTCTCAGCTCACGGGATTAAAAACCACGACCTACCCTTGTAGGATTTCAACTTCACTACTAAGCAAACTTTAGATTACAACTTATTGTAACCTAGAAATTAACCTCTTAATCTCTCACTAACTTGTAACAACTCTATTACAAGTCACTTTGTAATAACTCTATTACAAAGACTTTACAACTCGACTAACTCTAGCCAAGACACAAACACAAGGGTTTATGATTTATAAAGGATTTCCTACGCAATGCTTCTAACTAAGCTAAGTAGGAATTACAGGTAAAGAACTTTGACAAAGGTACAACACAACAAAGGACATGTAATAACTCAATACAGGGAATTGGTCTGTTGCTATGTTGTTCTTTGTTCTTGATGCACTTGAGAATCGTTTGGCAGATGATCAATCACTGTGTAGAGTGCTTGAGAAAATTCTCTAAATGTTCAAGTGATGTTTTGTCTTGGTTTAATGTTAATATAACATTGATGACATCACTTGAATGATGTAAGCATCTTGGGTACATGATCATTCCCAATGAAGCTGACTGCTGCACTGTGCTTGTACTGTTACGTGTGCAGGCAACGACTTTACACTTGTTGGAGAATTGACTGGTACGATCACTAGGTGAACTGATGTCCATCTGTTCCCCTTGTTGATTCTTTGACTCCTAAAGCGTTGATTTACAATTCCAGCTTAAGTCTTGTTGTTTCCACAAACTTGAAAATGTGTATTATGTTCCTTATCTGGTTTTTGTCATTAAGTTTGTTAGATCATCAAAACATAACAAGGTACATATAGCTTATCAAAATCTTACTTTGGCTGATTTTATTTTCAACACATATAGTATAGGTATGTTTGTGAAAAATCACTAAAATTACAAAAGAACAGAATTTTGAATCTATAATTTCAAAAGTATAATGGGTTTACGGTAAAAGCATAAAGTTAAAATCCATCAATTGTGAATTTTAAATTCACATCTTTAAAACGGTGCACACGTTCTCTTAGAAATTTTAGATCCCCATGTCGTAACAATCTTACTTTATAATTTTAATCCTTGCATCTAAAAGAAATCCATCGTGAATTCGTGCCTTTGGCCTATCCCGCGACAAAAAGGAGAGTCCCACTCTCCCATTCTCCACCTGGCACTTTATCAGGCATAGACCTTTTTTTTAACGAAGAATTGACCAATCTTTCTTGAACGTACAGATACACCGCACCAAATTCAGTCTACTTAATTGGAAAAAATGGTTTTACTTATCGTCGTAGGATATAATGCATGCAATTGAAAAGTGATCCTGATTTTGAAATGGAGATAGTGCATGCAGTCGAAAAGTGCTCAGGGTTGAATTGCAACATTTATAGTAAAAATGTTTGAAAAATCATAATAAAAATTATTTGACTTCTTAGGTATATTGTAACAGTATTATTATTTGTGAACGAAGAGTGTAACCGAGTATTTTCTGTTTTGCGATAAAAGAAAAATAAAGTACCGATCATTGGAACAAGATGCAAGAATTAAGTTTTCTTGACCATTTGATATATAGTCAATACAGATGAACAAGAAGAATGTATATAAAAAATGTGATTATTAAACTTTTAAACTAGTAGTACGTGGATAGTTGCTGATATAGAAAAAATGCTCCTACAGCTGGTCAAGATCAAATTTGTCCGCCGGGTATCTTAGCTATTGACATTTAATACCAGAAGAATCTGGTCCAAATAAGTGATAATGAATAATTTGCTCATCTTAGGAAAGAAACAAGGAAATACACATTCATCATCCTACTAAAAGAATACAACAACTAGTCCTAGTACTGTCAAACATTTCTATAACAGCATACTTTATAAAATATTCATTCATTACAAAAGTCAAGTTTTTATCAAAACCGATTTTTATATTATATTTACCTCCCTGTGACGGTTTTTTAGCTATAAAAACAACATCCATCTTTATAGAAATTATCTCTATATAACAACCATGTAGAATCTCTATGATCACCAATAATAAAATTAAAGATTTTGACCTCAACCTACTGTTAGCGTTATCTTTTAGTCTATTAGTTGTATTAGGACTTTATTTGATTTATCCTTATAATTATCCTTTTCATATATTGTTGTAACTTCCTTTCCTTATATTATTGTAACTTTATCTTATAAATATAAGTCCGGAAAGGTAGCAAGACTCACGCTTTGACACTTTAGTTTATCTATTTCATCTTGGTATCAGAGCCAGGCTCATCCCAATTATTGTTACCGATATTGGGCCCCCATTTATGTTGTTCACGCTCCAGTTTGCAGGCCTGGGCGTGAGGGGGTGTTGAGTTGTCCCACATCGGTGGGATTTGAGGTCCTTGGTCTCCTTATATGGTCTTGGGCAATCTTCACTTCATAAGCTAACTTTTGAGGTTGAGTTAGGCCCAAGGTCCATTTTATCTTAGTATCAAGAGCCCTAAACGATCCCCTTCAATGGCTCCAAAAAATTCCTCCTCCTCCTCTACTCAAACCGCCATGAATCAATCTTCTCTCGGCCTCCCCATTCCCCCTCAAACAGCTTCCAATATCAAATGTTTTGTTCCTATCAAATTGACATATGTCAACTACCTTACCAGGAAGAGAGTTTTACTCACAGTCCTTAAAAGTCACAACCTTCTTTCCTTAGTAGATGAAACCATACCATGTCCATTACCAGACCATGCTGATTATAAGCTATGGATTCAATGCGATACTATTGCATTAAGTTAGATTAATGCAACACTTTCTTCTGATGTTCTTGACACACTTTTGAACTATGCTTGTAAGACATCTAAACAGGCTTGAGAAACCCTCGCATCACTATATTTGGATCAAGTCTCTTCCTCCGCCATTCACCTTAAGTCAAAATTCCAAAATTTCAAGAAAGGTCCCATTTCTATGGAGGATTATCTTCAGCAACTTCACTCTATTGCCTGCTCTCTCAGGGAAATTGGTAAACCTATTACTGATGATAATTTATACCCTGTTTGGCCAAGCTTCTAAAATCAACTTATTTTGAGAAGTGCTTTTCTTAAAAATATTTTTTTTAAAAGTACTTTTGGGGAGAAGCAGTTTGTACTTGGCTAATTAATTTAAAAAATACTTTTGAGCAGTAATTAACTTTTGGCCAAGCTTTTGAAAATTGCTTCTAAGTGTATTTTTTTCAAAAGTGCTTCTCAGAAAAGTGCTTTTGGAGAGAAGCTATTTTTTTCTACTTCTCAAAAATCGCTTCTGCTTCTCTTCAAAAGCACTTTTTTTCCTTCCAAAAGCTTGGCCAAACACCTCAATATTTGGCCAAAAAAGCACTTTTGACCCTAAAAGAAGCTTGGCCAAACAGGCTATTAGTCGCTCAAGCTTTGCAAGGATTTCCTTCATCTTATCGTACCTTCGTGTCTGGATTAAATGTTACTGGCTCACTTCCTTCTTTCATTGTATTACGACCACTACTTCTCACTGAAGAAGCTCACATTAATGCAAATGCTTCTGAAGAGTCAAATGCTCAAACTGTTTTGCTTGCGTCAACTCAAGCGAAGACCACTTCTAATTTATCATCTTCCTTCAATGAAAATCAGCCTACAAAAGGATACTTCCATGGACGAGGTCGTGGAAAAAATAACAAGGGACAATATGGTAGGGGTCGTGGATACCACAATTCTTCATGGTCTGATTTCCAACATCAATCTCGGCCTCCTTCCCCCGCTACTGGTATTTTGGGTATACCACCTTCCGCTCTTACTAAACAATGTCAAATTTATTTTTATTATAATCGCACTGCGTTGGAGTGCATAAACAGGTTCAACCATTCCTTTGTGGCTAATAATATTCCTAAACCATTTGCTGCAATAAATTTGGAGGAGGTTCAACCAACAGTTTGGTACCCAGACTCTGGGGCATCTGCGCACATGACAAATTATCCTTCTACTCTTACTTCTCACACTCCCTATTCTGGTCTTTCTCAAGTCTTGGTTGGAGATGGTACTCTTCTCTCAATTAAATCTACTGGTTCATCTACCCTTCCAACAACTTTTAAGCCTCTTCTCTTAAAGAAAGTTTTATATGTTCCGTCCCTTGCTAAAAATCTGTTTTCTATTCAACGCTTATGTGCTGATAATAATTATTTTATTGAATTTACTAACTCTGATTTTTTGTCAAGGACTTGAAGACCAAAACAATGTTGCTCCACTGTAATAATTCTAGGTCTCTTTATCCTCTACGTGTCGCTCCATCTTCCTCCTCCATCTTTGGTCTCTTTGCTAAAGTTTTGCGTGCTTCCCTTTGGCACCAACGTTTGGGACATCTTGATCGAGAGTCTCTTAGTTCGTTAGTTTCTAGAAATTTAATTCGTAGTACTTCTTCCATCAATAATAAATCTAGAATGTCTTTTCCTTTATCAAGTAGTAATGCAAATTTCCGTTTGCTTTAATTCATTCAGATGTATGGCATGCTCCTACTTTCTCAAATTCGGGATATCGTTATTATATTTTGTTCCTCAATGATTATACTAAATTCCCTTGGGTCTACTTGATGCGCGAAAAATCTGAATCCTTTGAAAATTTCAAAGAATTTTATGCAATGGTTAAAAACGTTTTTCATAGCTCTATTTCTTATTTCCAGTCCGATGGCGGTGGGGAATACGTTAACAAAAATTTTAGTTCATTTTTTAAACAAAATGGCATAGTCCATCGTTTTTCTTGCCCTCACACTTCTTCTCAAAATGGTAGGGTGATCGAGGCCAAACCTACACCACTATAGAGTAGCGAAGATGATCGATGCAGTTTTACCCAACGAGGTCGGGATCGATTTCCATATTGAGTTAATTTGGCTTGGAGTTGGGTATCTAACTAATCTAGATGTGCGTGTTTTTTCTAATTGCACTTCCAAGTATTGTTGCGATTTATTTTATTCTAATTTTTATACTATTGTATGCTGAGTATAAGCTAAGTACAATATTTTTGGTAAAAGTTTTCAAGTGTTAAAAGGCACTAGGGAAGTGACTTCCGCCTAGGTGAGTATCTAATGGGTATCAAGAATGTAGGACAAACTTGTTATGATTGGGGTCGTGATATAACCATCACACATAAGTGCTCACTCTATACCTCTCGGTAGTTTGAATGACTTTGCCCGATTTGGCTTTCTCAAACCTAAATGGTTGTTCATACAATACAAGTGAAATTGGCTCAAGTCGGGTATTACTATCTCTAGGTTTAACCCTTTAATTGGGGCTATCAATCTCTTGAGCTCACCCCAATTCCTTGTTAGCCTAATTTTCCTAGACTTAGTACCTCTTTTTCAAGAAGAGCCTAAGTCATAAAGGCATGAGTCAGTGTTTGCAACTACTAATTCTACAATTTTAGCATGAATTAGGCTAAATATCACTAACCCATAAATAATTAAGCCCTAAAATTCAAGACCCATTAAATACTCACACTAAGGTTGGGTCACAACCCTAGCTATGGGGTCTAGCTACTCATAATAATAGCAGAAATCAAAGATAAAGATGAAATATAAGCCATAATATTAAAGTTCAAAATGAAAATCTAAAGTTTGAAGGTAAATCTATTCTAAAATTGCCCAAAAAGGAAAAAACCAGCCGTTCACGTGCTCTGCTAAAAAAAACTTAACCTAAAAATGTCAAAAAGGTCTATTTATACACAGCTAAAATTTTCGGACAAAAATACCCATGCGGAGGATTCGCGGATGCGTAATTCTGACCGCGTCCGCGCTTGAGCTTTTGCGGCCGCGTAATAATGAACGCGGTCTGCGTTTCTTCAATACTGGGCTTGGATTGGACTTAGTTTCGCGGATCGCGTAATTTCAACAGCGTCCACGTGGCTTCCATCGCGGCCGCGTATTTTGGACGCGGACCGCGTTCTTCAATTAAGCCCGACTTGCAGGGTCTCAGAACCTCAAGATGCGCTCTCAGCGGAATTCCCTTCGCATCCATGTAAGATCAATTCGCGGCCGCGTAATTTGGACGCGGGCCGCGTTCTTCATTTGAGCCCAAACTGTAGAGTCTTTAAACCTCGAACCACGCTCTCGGCAAAAATCCCCTCGCGGCCGCGCCAAAGATTTCGCGGCCGCACTTTTCCAACGCAGTCATCGGTGATTTTAGTACTGAAAGCAGCTTCTTTGAATCTACTTTCGCGGTCCGCGTAATAGTGGCTACCTCAGTGGTGGTCCTTACGCGGCTGTGCTTTTCTGCCGCTCTCAGCGCTCCAGTCTCAGCCTTGGATTCGTGCAAGTTTGAATCCTTTATGAGTTGATTATGGCTTCTTTGCCTCATTTCGACCAAAGCCTGCAAGCAAGCACATTAAGTTAGTTTTCGGGAATACCTTTACGTATTTTTGACCCAAAACCTAAGCAAAAGAGAGTAAATAATAGGCTAAAATGCCTAGTTATCATAGGGTCGAGCGAAAATATCGTCATATTGCAAATGTCCTACGGTATCTTATTTTTCAAGCATCTATGTCTTTTCAATTTTGGGCTGATTCTTGTTTATATGTTGTCTTCCTTATTAATGTTACTCCCCTTCCAGTGCTGCGTTTTAAATCTCCGCTTGAACTAATGCCAGATTATAATTTAATTCGTGTATTTGGGTGCCTATGTTATCCCTTTGTGGCATTTAGTCATCGTTCTAAGTTTCAACCTCGATCAAAACCTTGCTTATTTCTTGGTTCGTCGGATAAACACAAAGGATTTAAATGTTTGGATCCTTGCTCAAATAGGATTATAATCTCTCGGCATGTCCATTTTGTTGAGGACTCATTCCCGTTTCAAACTTTATTTCCTACTCATACTCCAAGTACCTCACCTAATTCTAAATAACCAGTCCATACCACACGTCTTGGTGGAATTCTCCCCCCTTCTCTTTCGCAACAACCCATTTCAAATAGGAAAAATCTTCAACTTCCTCCAACTTTACAGAATCCTATTTTAAATGGGAATAGTCATCCTACTTCACCTAATTTGCAGCACCACATTTCAAATAGGAGTCTTCAAACTCCTTTGAATCACGAGAATATTTTCAGCATTTCTCCTTCTTCACCATGCACTTTTTCTCCTTCCTATTCTCAATCACCTTTGGATCACGTAACTTCTAATAATCAACCTATCGTATCCACTTCGAGTTGCTCCTCTCTCTCTCCTATTGCACGTGATTCTTCATCTCATGCACATTCTACGCCAACTCTTTACTTCACCCGACAACCTTCAAGTATCTCGTACACAATCAACAACTGTACAACCTCAAACTCATCATATGACTAATCGCTCTAAAACAGGGTCTCTCAAGCCACGCATTCTTCCTTCCTTGATGGCTTCTACATGTCCCATTTTATCCGAACCTTCCTCCTTTGCTCAAGCTTCTAAAGACACTCGTTGGATGCAAGCAATGAGTTCTGAATTCGATGCTCTCATCCAAAATAAAACTTGAACTTTGGTGCCTCCTCCTCCTAATGCAAATACTATTGGCAACAAATGGGTGTTTCGAATCAAGTTTTGTGCAAATGGCTCTGTTGAAAGATTTAAAGCTCGTCTAGTGGCTCAAGGTTTTTCGCAACAGCCTGAAGTGGATTATTTTGAAACTTTTGCTCATGTAGTCAAGCCTAGTATAGTGCGTTTGGTCTTATCCTTGGCTCTTCAGCAAAATTGGTTCATGCACCAACTCGATGTGTCAAATGCATTCCTTCATGGTGAGTTATCTGAGACTCTTTATATGCGTCAACCTAAGGGGTTTGAGCATCCAGATTATCCCCATTATGTCTGCAAGTTGTAACGTGCTCTATATGGTCTTAAACAATCTCTGAGGGATTGGTTCCATCGTCTTGCTCGTTTTCTTCTTGATCTCGATTTTAAGCAATGTGTTTCGGACCAAAGCATGTTCATTTTTCACTCCGGGGGTGATTGCATTATTCTTTTAATTTATGTGGATGATATAGCTATTTTTGGTTCTTCAAAGTCCTTAATATCACAATTTATCTCTTCCAGGAGTACAGAATTCTCAATGAAGAACTTGGGACAGCTTCACTACTTTCTTGGCATTGAGTTAAAACATTACTCTTTGGGACTTCTCTTACTGCAACATCGTTACATTACTTCGATTCTGCATCGCTTTAAATTGGAAAAGTGTAAACCAATGCTTACTTTGCTTCATAGTAAGCTAGATTGGAATTCCACCTCTTCCCCGTTGCTTGAAAATCCTTCTATCTATCGTCAAATGGTTGGAAATCTACTATACTTATCCTTTACTAGGCCAGATATTCAATTTGCTGTCAACCTTGCTTCTCAATTCCTTCACCAGCCGAGACAATTGCATTTTCAGGCGGTAAAACGGATTTTTCGGTATCTTAGTGGCACCATCGACTGGGGCTTACAGTTGTATAAAAATTCTCCCTTGGCACTTACTGTTTTCTCTGACTCAGATTGGGCTGGTTGTTCACTAGGCGGTCTACAACTAGATTCTGCATTTTTCTTGGCTCCAATCTCATCTCTTGGTATGCTAAGAAGCAACCTACTGTTGCACGCTCAAGTACTGAAGCTGAATATCGAGCTCTTGCTATTGCAACTGCTGAAGCTACTTGGCTCCAGTATATTCTTCGTGATCTTGGCGTTTTTCTTACTTCTCCAGTCTCCGCAAAATGTGACAATATTTGAGCCATTCATCTACCTCACAATCCAGTTTTTCATTCCCGTTCCAAACATGTTGCATTGGATTATCATTTTGTTCGTGAAAAGATTAGTCATGGTGATCTGGTGGTCTCTCATGTTCATACCTCTGAGCAACTTGCAGATTTATTCACCAAAGTATTGCCCTCTACCCGTTTTCCTGAGCTGATAGCCAATCTTCACGTTCATTCTTTCCGGTCAGATTGAGGGAGGGTGTTAGCATTATCTTTTAGTCTATTTGTTGTATTAGGACTTTATTTGATTTATTCTTGTAATTATCCTTTTCATATATTGTTGTAACTTCCTTTCCTTATATTGCTGTGACTTTATCTTATAAATATAAGTCTGGAAAGGTGAGCAAGACTCACGCTTTCGTCACTTCAGTTTATCTATTTCATCTCCTACTACTACTTGGACTAAAATAGAAGATTTATGAATTGTTAAGCTCGTAGATTGCCTTCAAGGGAAAACCATCAAATACCCTTTTGCTAAAAGT